GTAGGAGTTCGTGACTTCTCAGCTTATAATAATGATGACGATTACGTAAATAACAGAAATGTCGTACGATATCGAGGGTAGGTATGCCCATACGAGAGTTATTTTATTCTGTGACATATTGCGGATGCTGCAATACAAATATTTTACAAACATTAACGACTTATTAACAGAGTCCAAAGTGTGAAGAGTAATAATAAGTGAAAAATCCAAGAGAGTTCTTAGGGGCATTCTTGTCTGTGAGGAGACAGGACTGGATAATTCTATAAAATGGCGAATGCGTCAGTCCAAAAACTTGCTGAAGCCGTTATATTAGAAAAGAAAAACTATAGTTTCGCTTTCAATCTGAAAGTCGAAACACTGATCGCCTACACTTTACATTTTATTCTCAGTGGATGATACCTACTGATTAAAAATTCAAATTCAGTTCGATTTAAAATCCAGATGAAGTATAGGTATGTATAATAATTTTTTTTTAGAAAGCTCGGATAATGTTTCAGCCAGAATGTGACATAAGTACATACCTTGGAATGTTTTCTACATAAAATTTATTACTAGGTAGGTAATACGGCATCCCAACCCAAACTATTAGAATCAGCAATACCGCATATAATAAATAATACACGATAAAAACTTTTAGAAAGTGCCGTAAATGTAGTTTTTATATAAATATCATAATAATTCCGTCTAAATATGTAAGCACAGGTTAAAGATGAGCCTATGAAGATGAGCCACTTCACCAAGCGCATGGTTATCACGTCTTTAATTACAAAGGAGTGGCAAATTTCAATATAAATAATTTTACTAAAAAAAGTACCTACAACATAACATACAGTGTGTCCCAAATTGGTAGGGAATGTATTGCGATCTCGGAAACTATTAGAGTTAGAGATTCGGTTAAATGGGGAATGTTTTAGACAATTTTATTACCAATTTACTGGATCTTATGCGGCCCTCCCATCACTTGAGGTTTTTGAGATATTTTGAGAAAACTAAGATACTGCATTTTCGAAAATGTCTATAACTTGCTTATTTATAAAGATATTTAAAATCTGAAAAAACGTTCTTAGAGCAATTTTTTACGAGAATTATGATGAATCCGTTAGATTTTGTTTACAACGTTTCGGTTGGCTGGAACCTTCATCAGGTTTGGATTTTCTTATGGGCGCCATATTGGATTTTACAAAATTTGAAAAGAGCGTATTTTTAGCTTTCCAACGATGTATAATACATGGTATGAAAAAATAACTTTGGTTATAAAAATTAGAGAAAACACTTTTCTTGTAGAAGTGTGGCAACGTTGCGTACTCTGAGACAGTAAAATGACCACTCACATTAAAAACCATTGAAATTATTGTCTAGATACTGGTATTGTCTCTTTCGAATCCATAGTTTTAATTTTAACGGTTCTTGAATTCGTTTTTTTACAGTGGCCTTAATATCTCTAATGAGAAGAAGTTTGACATTTTAAAGCTTTATTTACAAAACAACATAGGTAACAAACTAGAACTGTAGCATCTGAAAATCATTTTAAACAATTTCCTGATGACGTCAACAATACCTAAATGTTTCGAATTATTGTTATAAACTTTTTAAATTTTGAAGATTCTGAAACACCAGATTCTAAGACCTACGCAAAAGACAGCGAACAATATGTATACCTAATTATCATTTTACAGAAAATACTCAGGCCAATTAGAATAGTCGTCAGACAAATGCATATGTAAATCAGCTAAAGTGTTCTATTCACAAAAGAATAAATAAACGCACATACAAAATCAAAACTCATATTTTAATTTGAAGTTTTGGATTAATTTTGTCCACGGCGATGTTCAAAATGTCGTCCATTTTTTTGTAAACAATTTTGGCATCTTTTAAAAACTTGTCGTAAGGCATTTTACTGTCTCAGAATACGCAACGTTGCCACACTTCTACAAGAAAAGTGTTTTCTCTAATTTTTATAACCAAAGTTATTTTTTCATACCATGTATTATACATCGTTGGAAAGCTAAAAATACGCTCTTTTCAAATTTTGTAAAATCCAATATGGCGCCCATAAGAAAATCCAAATCTGATGAAGCTTCCAGCCAACCGAAACGTTGTAAACAAAATCTAACGGATTCATCATAATTCTCGTAAAAAATTGCTCTAAGAACGTTTTTTCAGATTTTAAATATCTTTATAAATAAGCAAGTTATAATACATTTTCGAAAATGCAGTATCTTAGTTTTTTCAAAATATCTCAAAAACCTCAAGTGATGGGAGGGCCGCATAAGATCCAGTAAATTGGTAATAAAATTGCCTAAAACATTCCTCATTTAACCGAATCTCTAACTCTAATAGTTTCCGAGATCGCAATACATTCCCTACCAATTTGGGACACACTGTATGTATAAGAATGTTAGGTTCTTATATAAGTACCTATAAACTTATTTCTTTCATAACACTGTCAAATCTGCAAATAAATAACGAGTGTATGCACAATAAGTCGTTACTGTTATCTGCGCTATATCGTTATTAATCACTATACTTCCGATGAAGTAACCATACGGCACAAGGAATGGTAGTAGTCAAGTTGACCACATTTTTTCAAAGAGAGAGTCGCCCACCTTCATGTCGCTTATTTCAGTTACATTAATAATATTACTGCGATTCTTGATTTCTTCAACTCTCACATAGTTACATTTAAATTCGTCTCGTTAAAATGTCATCCATTCCATATAAGATACAACTCGACCATCCCATCAAACATACAAAAGAGTAATAGATAGAAAATCTCGGTGGCATGCTATAAGTAACTTATAACATAATTTTATGAAGTGGGCTTAAAAAAAGATAAATGATAGAAGTAAATAGCTGGGTATTGTATTTATTAATAGAACTATTACTTAATGAGGTAAAATTTCTAAGCAGGTGGGCATTGCATCTTTGCGTATTACCTCATGCGTTACATCATAAATATAGACACAAACAGAATTAAGTGCATTAATTCTTTGATGTAAAATTAATTTATACTGATTGCTGGTATATGGTAGGTACCTACTCAGTGGGTTTCAAAAAATTGCTACCCACAATCTTGTTTTCATTATTTTATTGTTTCTTAACTACCTATTACTTATTATCCCTCTTACAGTTACTATAGACATTAGACAATATTCAAGTTCAAACAAAAATACCTACTGTTGCAGTTCATATCACAGAATTGCCACATTATCTTTTAAAGAGAAACGATCTATGTATACTAATCAGCTTGCTTCTCCTCGATGAAGTTTATGATGACTGAAGAATAGCCACATGCTGTTATGCCTATTGTTCATATGACTGTATAAAAAAATTGAAAAGCATAATAATAATATAAATGTAAATTAAAGGACATTGTTATAGTTCAAAATATGTTTGCCATGGTCGAATATAATTTTCTAGGCGAAGTAAAATACTGACGAAAAACAATAACAATCTATGTCACGCTTCTCAATACTTTTAACCACGATTAAAGAATGAGCGTGTACGAATTTAATGTCCTAGTAGAAGAATATACTATAGGAACAAGGGACATGCCATATACACACTGTTAGGTGTATTATTTAGAAATTTACCTTGACTTTTGACGATATAAAAAAATAATCGAAGATGTTACATGTAACTGTTTAAAAAAACGTCTTGAAGGTTGTTTCGTATCACGCCGGAGACGTTCGTACAAAAAAAATATGACTGTTTCTATAATTTATGAGTCACAATAAATTTGAATATGAAATTGCCTTGTCCAGCGCTATACAGCTATCAATATGATAATCACAATACCTAGTTGACATCATCGACTTTAATCAGAAAAGTACATATTCACATCTTTGATGCCCCCATAACTAACACAAAAATTTTATTAAAAATCAAACGACGCAAGAAATATTTGCTATTTAGTTATATAGTAACGTTGCTTAAAATTAAAGAAAGAACAAGTATGTCAAATTGGATTTAGTTTTAAGAAGGTATTTTTAAGTTGACAGAACAAAATTCATTACTGCTGCTACGAGCTTCTCATCTCAGATGGTAATACTTTTATTTAGCAAATTTAATTATGCACGCAAACTCTAAATTGCATCAATCTAAATTATGTAGGTACGCAGAATGATATCCGTTGCAGCAACAATTCGGACGGTTCAGTTATCAAAAGTAAACAATACAGTAAAACAATAGTGGGCAATTAATTTCATTATAAACTAAAGTAATGTAGTAATGACCATTAATGGGTTTGGGTTTGGTTTTAAACCTTGACACCTTAAAAAGTATGCGTTTGTAGTAGGTACCAGCAACACAATGGGCTTAATTTCAGCAAATGAATGGCTGATGGCTAACAACCGTGGACATTAATTAGCCTTTTTCGTTTCTGTTTCCTTTTTTTAAGACAATACAAAGTTATTCTGTCACTTTATAGGCAGCGGCAGGTTTCGAAATAGTAATGGAGGGCATTAAGTCTTAATTAATTACTTAATCCCATGTACAGTACAAATAAATCCCATCGGGGATTCACTTGGTAGGTACTTACGAACGTACTACCTGCTTAAAAAAAATTGAACTATGTACTTATTCCCGAAATACTAAATTAGTTCCCACTTTAGTTATTTGGAAAACCTTTTAGTCAAGATGAGTGTTTTCTTGAAACGTTCTGTGACTTCATCGTGAAGCACATGAATATGGCAAAAGGTCAAAGAGGTGATTAATATGCCATAATGAACGCGGCTACTATCTCATGAAATTCAATTCATTTTCGAAGAGGAAATGTTGTGAAATTACCAATATTACTACATTTTATTGTTGTGATGACATTTTTACGGTCATCTTTATTTTCATTGTATAGTAAATTAAGTGTGAAGCTACATTTTGTCACAAAGGTATAATGAAAAATTGGAAAAAATGAAAATTAAAGTCGCATGAACCCTCAACCCACCTTAATACCTATCTGGTCTGATCAGTTTGTTATAAAATCACCTAATTTGTTATGATACGGCTCGTTAGCTCAGTGGTTAGAGTGCCGCGCTCTCATTTGACTTAGCGGAGGTCGTAGGTTCGAATCCTACATGAGCCCAGTTTTCTTTTTGCTAAATATTTTGACTTGTCGTACCTACCTATTAGTTTTATAAAGCACACTATGAACTTTTTGGACTGAAACCTCCTTACAAGCATTAATTATGAGAATATAAACATATCTTTATTTCATATTCAGTCATACCTACTTATAAAGGTGCATGGAGAGTCTACGAAGATGCATTAGAAAAATTCTTTATACGCATACCGAAGGCTAAAAAAGCGAAAGTTACGCAACAGACAATTATTTTAATTTTTCTTTGAAAATTTCCAAAAAAAACAAGATTTTACCTTACATTTCATTAACTTGTAGACAATAGCATTTTTACATAGATGTAGAGTAGAACAACTTCCAATCCATCAAAAAGTAAAGGGGAAAATGTAGGCACAGCAGTAGTTGGCAAGGATGGTACAGAATGTGGGTCAAATTTGGATCGGATGGTGTAGGTCGCAAAATAATTAGTTGATCTGGATTCATATCGCAATACCTACTCGTTACATTTTCAACATTCTAGATCAGAGAGCACCGTAATATGTTTCGTGTTCAGGTATTTTAATGAGACCTAAAAAATGTGATTTTTCAAGGAAATTACTATCAATGAAATACTAAAAAAAAATCATAGGTATTCTAAATTAATTTGATTCTAATATAAACCGAAAGTGTCGCCGTAAATAAAAACATACCTACCCCCTATTTTTCCGGTCGTGTATAGAATCTTCGCATTTCATCATAGGATAAGTTAGTCACGATCGAAATACCACAACATTTCAAACACAATGAAATATTTCGCAGTCGTTGAAATTGCCTGATGATAAAAATTTGGTTCGTTTCTTGTATGCCTCAAGTTGTTGTTCACGTTTGTACGATTGTATAGAAGCGGAGAACATTTTTAGGAAATGAAGCAAGAGAAGAGAATATCGTATACAGGACATAAAGTAATATTTAGGTAGGTATGTATTTGCTGCCAATGGCAACGACAGGTGAGATCTACGATAGGTACTAAAATACAGGATATCTATTCAAGATGCTTGTCTAGATTTTCTATTGTAGACATAGACTGTAGGGATACAAAGGTCGATCACTTTTTAGTGAGGTAGGCTGTGTGTGCCTTTATAACTGGCTAAAGAATAAAAATTTTAGTCAAGACATGACTTAATCAGACAGCACAAACCATAATTTTAATTATTGTAGTTGTATAACTTTCAGTATTTAAATAATTTCAGGAATACGTTGCTTTTTATAAACTATAAAAGAAAGTTAGCAAATACCTCTGCCTATACCTTTCTCTAAACAATTTAGTAAAAAGTTATGAGAATTAACAAACTCATCCGCATATTAATTAAGTTTATTTGTGCGAAACACAAACCGTGTACACACATAATTTTATTAAAGAATTAGATAACATTCGTTCACATTGTATTTATAATAAATTAATATTATACTTTGTATACTGAACCGAAATGTTACACTTTTCCTATATTTATCTTTTTCTTTCACATGGCAGATATTCGCTATAAGTCTATTGTGCCGGTAAAAGGACTTTTATTAAAGATAACGCAAAAAAAAACTGGAAAAGTCATTGTTATATACTTATATTATATATAAGGAATTGTTCTGTAACTCCCTAATTTAATGTATAAGTAGGTATACTTTATGCATGGATGCACACGTGATTTGCAAGGTATAAATACTCTTCAGCAATAAAGGTCAATCTTAAATGTCATTTTCATTTGTATTTATATGAACCACGTTAGAGCAACAGTACTTTTTAGTTTGTACGAGTATAATCTGTTGGCAGTACCTAGCTACATAATTTTGTCCAGATTTCATTTTTTCGTTATTTTCTGGCATATTTATTTTAAACAAAATTTAGAACCTGCTAAACCATGAAAATAAAGCCATACTAAAACTCGTTACAATATAAGGGGGCGCAGGTGGGTATACCTTTTTGTATTAAACCTATAACTAAAAGAAATAAAGGAAGTTGTTGATACCTAAGTAACAAAAAGGTCAAATAAAATAATGGAGAAAGTTTATTTGCATAATTAAATTTTTACGTTTTTATTATAATTTTGAATTTGTGGTAGTTAACATAATTTTTTGAAAAACAGGCTTACTTAAATAATTACTTATATAATTTTTAACTCATTAACAGGGTATCTAAATAGTAATATGCTTAGGAAATGGATTTTTTATTAAAGACTGATGAAGATTAGCAATGTTAAAATAAAAACAGGTAGTAAAATTTGACTAGGCCATAACGTAATTGTAGCATATTCGACTATTTTCGACCGACGTACTACGAGCGGAGTGTAGATTGGCGGGGTCTTATCAGTTGTAATTTACTGTGGTGCAGTCCATACAAAGTCGGTTAAATTAGTCAAAGTCAGGTATTTTTATGCTGATTAAAGTGACAGATTGAAAACAATTGATGTCGTCTTCAGATATTGAGAAAATTACATTTTTTTAATGGAACACCCTGTATGTTATTGCATATTTGAAAAGAGCATTTTCTCATATGAATACTTGATATAAGTTATTATTACTATATGCTGTACCTTTTGACATACCAATATATTGTTAAAGACAGCTCACTTATACTATTGTTATAAAGATAGATAATTGAAACCTTTAAATTTTCATAGAAATTCTCTTTCTAAATTAAAATACGGGGTATTCTATTAAAAAAAATGTTGCATGGTTTGCTCAATATCTCGAGATGCGCCGATGTCAATTGTTTTCATATTCTGTCCTAATCAGAAAAAAATACATAATACTTTGCTAATTTAACAATGGCTGAGCGGGACCATTATAATTCTACCTGGTAAGATTTAAGTGACCTGTGGGGTGATTCTACTAATTTTATAGCGGCTATATGACGTCATTTTAGGCTATATCTGACAGAAACCTGCTTTATAGCCTCAATACGTCATATAGCCGGCTATAAAATTAGTAGAATCACCCCCCTGGTTTAAACCAACAACTGAACACATAAGAGACGAACAGACCATTACTTGGAAGACCTGGTATAGATGAACTTTACTAATTTATTCTTATCAAAGGCAAATACTTCTAGGAAGTATTGGTAATGAAAAAGTTTAATTATCTAAAAAACAACTTAATTAGTCTATTTTTAACAAATTAGAATTTAGTGATTTATTATAGGTGTTTCAAAAGGGATGATTAAACGAGCTCAAATTGTAAATTAATTAAACCGTTTATTTGGAGATTTAAATGAACTTTTTTGCTGGATTTACTGAATTTTCACCTGGTTTTATTAAATTTTTCCTCAGTGTACTTACCGTGTTGGATGAAGAATTTAAAAATCAAGCAGAACGCCTTCCAACTTGTGAAGGTCATCGTGAAGATGTGGTAACCCAAGTTCTTCGTATTCCTAAAAAAGAGAAGGCAAATTAGCAGACATGCAACCGTTCCCACGAGGTTTTGTAATCTCTAATATTAAATTTAACCATGGCAGGGATATAATTACATTTTATTTTTATAAGCGTCTGCAAAACGCCTTGTACATTTCATTACTAACTCATTGAATTAAATCAGTTTTTCCAGTCTTGTACAAAATGTAACATATAAATCAGTTTACTAGAGCAGAAACCAAAGTCAAAATTATTAAAGGCATAAAATATAAAATATTTATAGAAAATTATTTCAGCAGTCACAACAAAAAACTATACATTTACACTTCAAAAAATTGCATCGAAACAATCGAAACTTCACGTAATGTTTTCTAAGTCCTGTTTGCTTGAAAGCTTTTCAAAGGCTTCGAGAAAATGGCGGAGGTGCCAGTATTAAAATTAACGAATCTGGTTTTAACTGTGGTTTCTTTAATTTCTAAAGAAATATAATATGAATGAAAACTTAAATTTGTCCTTAAATAGCAGTCTGCTTTGCTTATCGAAAACAAATTTCTTAAATCTGAGGTTAAATACGTTATAGTTCAAGTTCGACGAAAAGAATTCTAGTTTAAAAATTTAATAACTCGTTAGATCCATCTATAATCAGTTAAAAAAACTGATTGTAGCATAAAAAAATTACATCTGCTCTCTTACGTAAGTTATCTGACGGTCATTCTTTCAAACCAGAAATAGTTTCGGATTCAGCTAGTAAATAAAAAGATACTCTCAGAATGTTCGAACCTGTGGAATTGCGATCTCTGTAATAAATGTATCAATAATTTATTGATTTCCCCTTACATTCAGGTATCTGTACTCCAAATAATCGCTTGTATTTGAAACTTAAAACGGATTAGAAAGGAGTTTATCTCTTATAACATTTCAGATTATTTACATAAGTGAAATACGAATAATTGGTACTATTACGTGTTACACAAGTTTGGTTTTGATTACAAAACATTATAAAGTGGTACATCTTCGGACAAAGAACGAATATTAAAAATTAGGTATTGTGTAAAATTTTCAGGGGCTTGATTTCCTTAAAAGTGAGACTATTTTTATATTCCAAAGCGTCTACTGGTGTTTTCCAAGGCTATTGACAGCCTTTATAATGACCAATGATAATGACGTAAGATGGAAGATTTATAAATATGTAAAAGTCGTAAAGGGATGAGTCATTCAGCTAGTCTCAAAAGTCAAAACTGAAAGAAAGCCTTGCAATCTGATTTCAACGACTGTGTGTGTCTATGCAGGACAACTGGGTTGTATCCTGAAATTTCAGGAGGTGACTTAATAACGAATTAGTGGAGCGAAAAACGGGTAAAATTGTGTCGTTTTTTTAATCACTTAGAACCAGATGAACCCCATATATTATCAGCATTATCATTTTACATCCAAAACTGGAAAATACGACATTTTTTAGTGGTCACTTAGATTGTTATTGCAAAAATAGTGAAAAAAATCGTTATTTCAAAAACGTTGTTTTTTTATACATATTTTGCCATACTTCGAAACGAATTGAGTTACGACTTATTCTTTTTTTATTATAAAAATAACGCTCTTTCCATAGAGTTCGCTCAATACGGCGTT